TGTGATGACTATAGTGACTATTGCAGAAATCTGACGTGTGCATGCCACAGGCAAGGGGGGGTTTGGGGGGGAACCCCAGGGGTTCCCCCCCAACTACTGTGGCTATTAGTGCAAAGATCTAACATGCTCATGTCACAGGCAAGGGGGGGTTTGGGGGGGAACCCCGGGGGTTCCTCCCCAACCACTATAACTCTTATCACAAAAATATTACAAAAACCAATGTTTGAACTTGGAAGATATAAAATAATACACAAGGAGAGATGAGACATCTGTGGAATAAAATACAACCAACAACTGCAACCCCCCCGTGACAACGGCACGGGTCCTTAAGCTTGTTCTTTCTTATATTTCTGCTCCCGGTCACAGCCACAGCCACGGCTGCACGGCATGCCCTGACTAATACCATATCCACATCCGGACAACGTGTGTCTACTCAGTCTCCTCAGTCTGTTTTTCTGCTAGGTAATAGTAAGTTGTGATGTATCTGTGTCAAAATTTACGTACACTAATACCCGTATCCATAGGATAACGGCTAGCGGTCCAACTGTATCGATCTCTCACAGACGCCTGGAAGTATGCAACTCCGGACCCGAGCCCTCTATCAAGAATGATGTATATCACCATTTCCTGCTGCGATCTGTCAAGCCTGTACTTCTCAACCCCTTCAATTAGCAAGCTTCCTTGAATTTACATCCCACTCGCAAAGGCCTGTGTTATTATATTATTCTGCCATCGACCCCCTCTAGTCGGTTATTTAGATGCAATCCCTTCACTAGCGACCTTTCCGAGTCCCCACCTTTGACCATTCACGAGGACCTCGAAAACCTCCCCGCTATCTGACTACTCAAACTACACGTACACCCATCTTACACTCGTGACTTTCTTGGTGGCCCACGCAAAAAAATATCAGCAACGGACAAATGCAGCCTTGGGGCCACCCATGTCTACCCTCACCAGCCCTTTGATCGTACGAAGTAACACAAGTGTTCCCCAAGTTACTGATGCATCTACTCTCACCTCAATCCGCCCCGCCCTATCCTTCATCCTCATCTCTTCAATCTTTTCCGTAATCCTTCTCCCCCTCCTAGGTCTCCTGCTCGCGTTCTCCGACTCCCACTCGCGTCGTACTCCAATATTTATGCTCAATGTGCTGGCAATTGGGCTGGGGGTGCTGTCGGGGGTGCTGTGTATCCACTTGGCTGTTAGTCGCAGACGGAGTGTGAGCGCATGTATGATGTATGACTGACTTTGGCGCAGGTAGAACAAGTGATATCACCAACCTCTGCGATCGACCGTCCTGAAGGTGAGTCCTCATGCCTACCTTCATTCTTCATTCTAATCCTCATCACTCATCTCCGTCGCTGCCAGACTTCATCTACAACATCCTTCAAATTTGGATGCCCTGGATCACAGAAGCTGTCCTCCTACATCGCGTCATCGTTGTCTTCCGGCCAATCTCCTGCAGCAGCCGGATGATTGCGCTCCTAGCCTTACCCGTCATCATCAAGCTCGCGCGCGCCGTAATCAATATATTTTATCTAGTGCAATGGCATAGCCACAGCTCGATATCGCCCGTCAATTCCCGTGCACTCACTGTTTGCGCAATATGGAGCGTACAGTCGTCTTGGATCTTAGAACTCCTAGATAACACGTGAGTGGGTCCATGCCCATGCGTCCAACCTGCCACCCAATGTTTTCCTTCTCGTGTTTTGACAATGGCCTAACCTTTCGCATGAGGTACATCTCGGCCTTGTTCCTCCTACGCCTAGGGTCCCATGTCTACACATCTTTACGGCTCAGCGACTCCTCGGAGGGGTCAAGCCAGTCAAGTAGGTGTTTCATACTGGGAGGAGCCCGACCGAATTATCCATGCTGACGGTCGGAATCGAAGCATTTGTCATGAAGTTGAAGACCTTATTCTGGATCGCCAGCACCAACTTCGTGTTCCCTTGTCAGTAGTGATAAATATTTTCCCAATAAACTTACCAACTTACAAAGTAGCTTTACCACACATCCAGTGATCTTCGGGCTCTGTCAGGTGGTCCTCATATTCACCGACAACGCAGTCACTGCTATGAGCATCAAGATCGTCAACACATATGTCGCGATTATATCCACCGTCCTGGCAACCAGTACGCACGGTCATTTTTTACCGTGAACTGCATTACTGAAATGCCTTCTCTACCCCCTTCTGTATTTCCCTATTTCTTTACTCCTTCCTCACTCTTAGTATGGGCCTCCACTACATCCTATCACTCGAGCGCCCTGTCGCGAAACAGCTTCGATGGAGCGATTGTCCCGGTTGATCCGATTGTTTTCCAGCACAGGAAGGGCCACAGCGAAAGCGAGCTGTCAGCGGACGACTCTAAGCGGGAGGAGGTGGACAATAGGTCGAATATGTCCATGGCGGATGTGCTATGCCGGGTAAAGTCTGCCGGGTTGGCTCCTCCTAGATCGATATGTGTCTAAGACAATTGTCGAATAACACAACTAGATCGCTTGGCTCCCTTTTCAGCGTGAATTTATGATATTACTTTACAAGGTATGAAAACGAGTACATACAGCCGACTCGGAGGCTGTCGTACTGACCCATACTTCTCGGCACGCCATCTGGAAGACCTCAAATACTTTCATCAGAGGGGCACTCGATGCATATTCATTTGGACCATGTACCAGATAGACCAAAGTATTCGACAGGGGATGGAAAAGGTCAAAAAGTTTGCTAAGCGTTGAATCAAAAAAGGGGCCTAGCTGGGAATTGAACCCAGGACCACCTCCAAGCTTGCGTGATCCCACGCGGAACTCTACGCCCCGAAGGAGGTATCATGCTACTAGACCACTAGGCCGACGAAGAGTGAGGAGACAGGTAACACCTTTCTTCAACTGTACTGGGCGTCCTACCGGGTTGTCGCCGCGCGGCTGTCAACCGCAACAGTTCAACCGGGCATCCAACTTCCTTCCCCTAAGTAGTCTTGTGCTTCTAATCAGATACTAGCAGAGTATTCCCATTCCAATGAAGCTGGGACCTGTAGAAACAAAAAGTGATTCACATTCGATTGTAAGCTTATTCAACTTGCCTTCTACCATTCATATACTACAGTGGAGCATCAGTTGTAGAGTAGAAGGTGCGACGTAGTGAAAACTCTCACCGTCGTCACGATAGGTCTGTCCGGCTGCCCGAGTCGATGGCAAGTGGGTGCCGCCTTTCTCAAACACTGTTCAGACGATGATTATAGATGTTAGCTTGGGAAGCCGAGGAGAATAGGGGGAAATCCACCGACCTCATTCAACTTCTTACACACATACGCCAACGACATTTATGCCATCAGTTGGCCCAAATATCATTTCTCATTACATGGCCTTCTCCTAATCCAGGAAACAGAAATTTATGCCAAGTTATGCGGCACTGCGGCAGTATGCGGTACTCGTGTGTCTGTATTCTTAAACCCATTCAATGATGTCGCTTCAACTGAAACGCGGGAAGGATTTGCTTCGGAAGTCGGGACCCAGTTATCGCTTGCCTAGCCCCGAGGCTTGGTAGATGGTGGCCCCGTGGATCGTCGATAAACCCGACAGCAACGTCATAAGCACCAGGTAGCACCCAGCACCCACCGCAAGGAACTTTTAACGTGAATATATTTGTCCATTTTTACACAAGCCTGGATTCTTTGGGTACGTCTATACCAGAGACATTGTGGATTTCTGAATGAAGCGGCTCAGGAGGCTTGTTCGTGTAGTTGCCGCAGTATACGTCCATCGGGCCCGCCGCCCATCCGTTACCGAGGAACTCTTCTATGTCGTGATGGAGATCCTCTCGGTACTGTCAAACTCTACTGATACATGTCAGCCTTTGGTGTGTATCGAACCTGTTGCCCCCGCAGAGGTACATAAGAACATGAACATTAACGTCAATCCCCTTCCCCTGTTCATAAAGGCAGATTCGCACCTACAGGGTGTTAGATTATGGAGCACGTTCCGACGGTGCTCGACGCACATGTCCTTGAGGCGTACGCCCGGCGCGTGCGCACTGCTATTCCGTTTATTGTAATCTCCTTGATTTTCTCCACCATTCTATTACCCCTCCTTGGAATGCTATTCGCGCTTTCGACGGCCCAATCGCGACGGACACCAATTTTCATTCTGAACGTTGTTGCAATATCCTTGGGACTTGTGGTCGGGGTATTATGTAGTCACCTTTCGGTAAATGCCAACTTAATTGAGAAGGAGATATTAGAACGCTGACTCTCTGCTCTTAGATTAAAAATATTTTCTCACCTTCGAGTGGAGTGAATGCGGACGAAGGTCTGCGCCCGGAGCGGCTTTTATCCCTGTTCGAGCATCTCATTATTTCTGGTATAGATTTCACGTTCAGCATCATCTACGTCTGGATGCCTTGGATTACAGAGGGAATTCTGCTGCTTCGCGTCATTGTCATCTTTCGACCAGCATGTGCTCGTCTCGCTCATCTACTCGCGTTGCTCGCGGTACCGATTCTGCTCAAAATCGCGCGGGCGACCGTCAACATCTTATTTCTTTTAAAACTGGAAGATGTCACCACGGATGCTGCAATGCCAAGTAGGCTTGAACAATTCGACGCCACAATGAGTGTAGGTAAAGTGCTCATCGCGATCGGTTGGATACTCGAGTTGTTTGATAATGGGTACCTGCTGCTCGCCCTATTTTGATTTTTCTACACACCAACTAATGCTCTCAGATATATTTCTGCTCTCTTCCTCTGGCGCCTGGTCAAACAAGTTCGCGCATTCGACGATATACGCATTGAGCATATGTATCATATCCAATTCTCGAGTGAGTCTAATCAATCAGCTTGATTCCTAGTGCCTGATTTTATCTTGTTATTTGCTGCTTACTAAAAGGCGAAGATTCTTTTACGAGTAGATTGAAGACATTGTTTTGGATCGCCAGCACAAACTTTGTCTTTCCATGTGAGTCTTTGCCTGATTTACATCATATCTTGGGCTCATAAAAATGTGTAGTTGTATTCGGCCTCGGACAGGTCGTTCTACTATTTACTCAGCGTTGTGTTTTCGTTGCCGCATGCTTAGGTATGGTTAATGTGTATGTGTCTATAATATCCACTGTTTTTGCCACAAGTACGTCAATTCACTCAGAGGTCGACTCCATCATCTATTTACATGATTCAGTATGGGCCGCCACAAATTCCATCGACCACAATGCTTTGTCGGAAAACAGAAAGCCCCCAACCCATGAACCAATCGTCCTCCATCTTAATCAAATAGAGGAATTATCCCTTGCCACAGATATTTGGGGAAAAGATTTGCCGCGTAATGTCATCGCTGAGGTGTTAGATTTAGAGAAGGGCCAACACAGATCAACGTTTGACTGATATAATTTGTAGGATTAATCTAATACTTACGTTACTCAGATATTGTATTTAATTTAGAGCATCAAGGGCTTATAACTCAGAATTTTTATGGCGGAAAAACTGCAGGCCTCCTGCCCTCGGCTACCCTGATTCTTTATTTCAAATTCATTTATTGTGACCAATCCAATTACATGGATTTTGTTGGTTCTTAATGCGCCACGAGTCTGATAACACTAACGCTGAAACCTGGAGCGTTGTATGTGAGGTTCTTTGCAGTTGCGATAGAGCTGGTCGTTGGCAAACAAGTATTTGGCGCAGCAGGGGTGTTACTTGTCTTCTCAGCACCTTGTATCACCTGAAGGGTACCAGAAGTCGCCACGGTGGCGAATGGGAGAGCGAATGTGATCGGTGCAGCTGTCTCCACCGTGTTGGATACCTGCGCACAGTCAGTGGGTGAGTCTCATGAATGAGGTAGATGAACCTTGATGATGATTTCCTTTGTTTTATTTACGCGCACGACACTCCAGAAGAGTGTTCCAGATCGCTCTGGAAGGGTGCTCGGAATATAAGCGTCACCTTTATTGAGGCTGAAGAGCTGTTGATAGATGATCAACGGATTAATATACGAAGAGGAACTGCCGATTAAGATACCTTTTGGACATAGAAACTGGTTGAGCGATACACTGCTCCCGCGCTTTAGATTTAAATAAGCAATCGATAGTAGGAGCATTTCAGAGGGCTTACTCAAAGCTAATCAGATTCGGAGACTACAGCATGAATTGATCATTATCGTTCCCAAAAATCAAGAGGAGAATTTACCCATTGAGAATTTGCAACATGCTATAAAATAATTGGGTCAGTTGAAATTTTATTTAAATGATTTTTGAAAGCCCCTACATTGAGAAGCGGTGCATAGGATGCTGCGAATCTAGGTACGGAAAAATAAGTCAACCCCTGGAAATATGTGTTGATGAAGTAGCTGACACTATGTCGCTGTTTCTCTCTAAGCCAGTCATGAAGGCTGCCTCGCCCGAAGAACCTAGAGAAAAATCATATGAATATCTATATGATATCTGAACAGTGGCGAGACATGCATACTTTTCATTGTCGGGTAATCGAACACGGCACCGTCCCAGTTCGCGGCATATTCACCCTGATACCCGCCCATGAGCGATGCAGATAAAATAGTCTCTAAAAAGCATACTTCAAAATACTTTGTCCCGTCGCGTACGAAGTCGTCATAGAAGAATGTGTTTTGCGCGAACCAAGCTACATGTCGAATAAGCTTTCAAGGATTTATGTAGATTAGAGGTGCTCACAAGGACTCGAATAGACATGGACGTCATATTCAGTAGGTTTAGGCGTGAGGGCTGGGCCAGCAGGATCTGAAGTGGCGATGTAGCCTGGTAGAATGAAGGTCACACTTTCATCAGGCCAAACTCAGTAATCTAGAGTTTATACACACGGAGATGGGGAAATTGGGCCTTGAGAGCAGTTGCAAAACTACGCCAGCGGTAGACATATCTTGAGTTCGATTTAGTGGTATTGTTGACACATTTTTCGGAGAAATTCAAACGTACGAGGTCGCGGCGTAGATATCCTAATGTAAGAAGAGAATGGTGAGCTCAGGCAAAAAGTTCAACCTGGCAAACTCGCCACACACCTCGTTTCCGATTTCAATATATTTGAGTGCAAACGGGGCAGGATGGCCTAGGGACGCGCGCAGTGCAGCTGAAGCCGAAGTCAAATACTGTATTAAAAAAGATGTGCACTGGCATACCGGCTCTACTCTTAGCGGGATCACCTATGGCAAAGTTAATCTAAAAGAAATTATCAAGTATGGCTCAGCACGAGTCGGTATCAAGCCAGGAGGAACACACCTGATCGATCGCTTCTTGGATGTATGGCCCAAGTTGGTTTTCGGGAACAGTCTCTCCACCAAGTGCGTAGCCTTCGTCAAGATATGAGCTAACTGCTGGGTAGACAGAAATCAAACTCTAACCTGCCCACACACCCATGATTGGCTCCATGCCTGAATCCTCACACCAGTTGAGATAATCCAAGAGCCCTAGACCGCTATATCGAAGTATTACATTAGTAACCTGTCAAGGATATATGGCACCAGAGATTTTTTATTACTCAGTGTTCACATAGCCCCAATCTCCCGGGCGTCCTAAGATGTGTTCATTCAAATCAAATATCATCATCCAAAGCGAGATTATTCAACTGACCAGGCCTATCGATCAAAGAGCCAACCTTGAAATTCTGTGATGAGAAGGACAGGTATACGAGAGAAATGTCACACACTGTGGCGTTCCATTTCCACCGGGTGGCAACCGTTTGTCCCTCCAGGTTATTTCCACCTGCAAATGAAATAAGATTTTAAATCCTGTATAAATATGTGACCTCCAACCACGAGCTAACCTGGGAAGCGGAAGAATGTGGGGCCCATTTCGACAAGCGTCTAAGGATCGTGCGTGCGTTCAAGAGCCTGTGATA